GCCGTCGAAGGCGCGGAGCAGGCTGCCCGAGGCGGCGTCGCGCAGCTCCAGCCGGTCGCGTGGGTCGGCCAGCTCGAAGAGGCGGAAGGTGAGCTCCAGCGCGGCGCCCGGCGGGCCCAGCGCCCAGCTGCAGTTCCGGTCCGGCCCGTACTCGTCCGGAAAGTCCGGGGAGTAGATGACGCCCTGAGGTGCGGTCCAGTTCCCCTGGCAGGAGCCCACGGACACTGTGGGCGGGGCCGGCGGTCAGAACCCGGAGGCCCCAGGCTCTTCCCTCAGAGGCGGAGCTCCGCCCCGCCGCAGCTAGGCCCCGCCCCCATCCAGCCCCACCCCCTCCGCGGGCCCCGCCAGCCCCTTCCGTAGACCCCGGCCTCACACCGTTAATCTCCTGGTCAGGGCACGCCTCCACCCAGACCCTGTCGCTGGCCCCCAGCCCAGGCCCTTTCTCAGCCCCTGCCCCCAGCCTACGGCCTCCAGGTTCCCGATTCCGCCCCCTATCGGGGCATCGCACTCTGGGTCCCACCCAGACTTCTCCCCTCACCCAGGCCCCTCATCCCCGCCCCTCCTCACCTTCGTAGATGCCCAGGCGCCCATCGCCGCCGCACAGCTGGCCCGGGTGGCCGAAGCAGATCTGGTCACAGTCGGTGGCCGGGGCCGGGCGTCCCCGGGCCAGGTCGCTTTCAGAGCCACAGAAACAGGCGTAGCCGGCCTCCAAGCCCGCCAGCTGGGGGCACAGACCAGGTGACCCCAGAGGCAGGGGCCGAGGTAGGGGTGGGGTGGTGGAAGCCAGGAGTCGGGGTCGGAAGTGGGAATCGGGCTGGAGGTTCAGAAATCAGTGTCAAGGTTTGGCGTCAGAGTCGGGAGTTGATTTGGGTCCTGAGGTCAAGGTCAGGGGTCACTGGTCGGGGCTGGCGGGCAGTACCTGGTAGCCTTTCATGCGGCAGAAGCGAAGGCACACCTGGACCGTGAGCTTCGTGGAGGTGCCACTAGGGCCGCTGAGGGCCGGGGGTGCCCCCGAGTCCACGAAGCAGCCCAGGTACCCGGGCACTGGGGGGGTCAGTGGAGTCGGGCTCTGTCAGGCGCCTCCGAAAACGAACTCCCTCCGGGCAGCCCCGCGCTCCCCCCTTGTCCAGCCGGGCCCACTCACTGTGGCACGTGGGGATGTCGCAGTAGCGCCAGTAGATGCCCTCCTCCGACTCGGCCACGTAGCACCACGGCTGCACGTCTCCGTCGGGGTTCCTGCGGGAGGGGGAGAAGTGATCGGAATCCCACTGCCCTAAGAGCCACGAATCCCGGGCTGCGCCCCACGGTCTATTCGGAAACTAGCCCCATGTATGTTAGTTGAGCGCTCCTCCGTTCTCGCACAAATTCTGGTTTGCCCCACGTGCTTCTGGATGTCGACTTCCGAGCAGACCGTGGGAAGCCATTAAAGGGGCCCTGAGGGCTGATTTTAGGTCTTCAGCTGTTGCTAGGACGTGACCTCATATATGAGGACTTTGAGGCCATCTGTAGTGTTCGCCCCCCACCCAGCCATGGGCCTCGGCCACGTCCCTTGCCTCGGAGCCCTGCCTTAAAGCAGAAGTAGTGAGCCCAAAGCTTTGCGGCTCAGCAGAGAAGTGCCCTTTCGATCCGCTTGGGCCCTGCCGCTCAAGACAGCAGACGGGGCTCTGAGCCTCCAGTCCCTCGGTCACCGCTAGTAGATGCCGCGCGCAGAAGTAGTACGGCAAGAGCCCACCCAGCCCCTCACGCCAGGGCCCGCCCTCTGACGAGACCCCGCCCGCAGGGGCCCCTTGGGTGCCCAAGACTGGTCCTTCGCTCCTGGCCCTGCGTGAGGCCCTGCAGAAGTTGGGCGCGTAAGGCGGGACCCACGGAAGAGTCCCAGCGCCTAGCCCCGCCCCCAGCTCAACTAGGCCCCGCCCATCGCTTTGGCTCCGCCCCCGACCCTCCCGGTGGACCCCGTACTCGCCCAGAGACCTCCGCTCCGCCCACACGGAGGTCCTGCCCCGCCACCAGCGAGGCCCCGCCCCTGGCCCCGCCCCTCACCGACAGAAGTTGTGAGCACCCAGCCCCCAGCGGCCCTGGGGGTCGCTGGCGCTGCTGTAGCTGTGCTGCTGCGTCTGATCCCAGAAGAGGCAGGGACGGCCGGCCCCACGCGGGCCCGTGCGGTTCTGGTGGCCGCGGTAGTCGGCGCCATTCACCTGGAAGCACTCGGACAGGCCTGCACGGCGACGGCAGGGCCTGGGGAGGTCCGGACCCTCGCCCGGCATCCTCACCCGCCGACGCCAGCTCCCGTCCCGCTCCCCAGCCAGTGCCCCCGGCGGCCGTGGTGCCCTGGGGCTGCTCAGCTGCTCGTGCCACCTGCTCCCCAGCCTCGGGACCTGGATCCTAGGCGCGGAGGCGGTGGAGGGAGTGGTGACCACGGCCCAGTCGCCGGGCCAGGACTCACCTGGGCTATGCAGGCTCCCTGCGGAGGCCCCGCGTGGCGGCAGCAGCGGGCGGAGGAGGAGGAGAAAGAGGAGGCCCTGCCGGGCCCGTGTCCCCATCGCCGCGGACCAAGAAGAGGTCGCCCTGGCCCACACATGCCGCCTGCCGTCCCCGGGGTCGCTTCGGGGTCTCCCAGGCCACATGGGGGGCGTTGTCCTCTGACCTTCTGTCCTCGTCCCACTCTGGGCGGCGCTCTCCGTCTGGGGCGGGCGAAATATCTCCCGGGGGTATTTGCCTCCTAGGGTTTCTGCCCCTGGAGGCGTCTCTCTGCCCCTGTCCCTACTGGGGGTCTCCCCGGGGGTGGTCTTTGGCCAGGGGCGTTCTCCGTCCTGCCTCTCCGTGCTCGGGGTCGTGCCTCAGCCTCCACACCCGCCCCCTCCCGCGGCGCCTCGCTCTCTGAGTCTCCTTCGCCCGGGTTGCCAACGCGCTGGCTCCTGCCCCCCTCGCATCCCTCCGCGGATCCCTCCCCCCTGGGTCCCTCCCTCCCCACCCCATCCCCCGAGGCCGGGAAGCCCCGCCCGAGACTGGAGCCGAGGCAGCAGGTCCAGACGCCTCCCACGCCCGCCTCCCCCCCACCCCCCGCCGGGGACCCTCGGCGTCCCAGCTCTCGCCGGCCCCCTCCCCCTCTCAGGGTCGGTGCAGGTTCTAGTGGGAGTGTGTGGAGGAGGCCAGGCCGGGCTGGTGGACAGAAGGACCCCAGTGGAGGACATACGAGACCCTCTCCCGAGGCCACCCGCCCCCGGGACACGCCGGAGTTTCCGGCTCACAGGCACTCTTGAATGAAGTGCACGCACGCACTCCCACTCAGTCACCCATTCACTATCAGAAGCTCACACCCCTCGCTCCCCAGGTGCCGACGCCTCTGGCCTGACAGAGGAAGTGCCACTCCCTGCCCCCGCACCCGCGAGACAGGCGGGAATGGTGGACGCTCAGTCCTGGACAGGCAGGGGCAGCTGGTGTCTGGGGAGGAAGGCAGCTGCGTCCCTCGTCCCACCCTGTCCCCTCCTACCCTCCCCCTTCTCTCCCTAGGACCCCCAGCCCAGGCTCGCTGGAGCCCTCGCAGCGCCGAGGAATTCCCCCAGCGGTGCCCCCCCCACCTGGCGGGGGAGGGGGAGGGGAGCAGGCCCGGGCAGGCGTGGGGGGAAATTCCCCGCCCCCTCCCCCTGGGCCCGACTCCTGTGAGTCCTCTGATCTCCCAGCGCCGCCCGCCGGCTGCCCCCAGGGCTTGGGGGGAGGCCAGCGCAGGTGCGTGGGAGCGCGGGGGCCGGTGAGGAGGCGGGTGGTGGCCGGGGCCCAGAGCGGCCCTGCCCCACCCAGATCCCCTGCCCCGCAGTCCAGCCTCCCCACCCCTCAGCGGGCCCCCACCCGGCTGTCCAGCCCGGAGGACCTGTCCCCGCCCTGTCAGCAGCCCCCCCCAAGATGGGGGACACAGGGGAGATTCTAGAAAAGCCAAGGTGGCCCTGGCGGTGAGAGACCGGCGGAGACCTCGAAGTTAGTGCTCCACACGCAGGCTCTTGCGTCCGGGGGCAGGTGGCGCGCGGGGGAGCAAGGCAAGGTGGTGGGCTTGCTGAGACTCGAGGCCGGCGCCCGGGTCGCCTCCTAGGGGACTCCTCTCAGCGGCCAGGCTAGCGCAGGCTCCCATCGCAGTTTCCTGTCCCCGCTGAGCACTGGACTGGGAGTCTCACCTGTGTGCACTAGCCCTGCCCCGGGAACCGGTCTGACGCTCCCCCTAGCGAGGGAGCAGCGGGGCCACCTGTCGACTGGCCCCCTTCTCCCTCCTGTCCATGAGCGCCGGGGCTGCGGGGGCTCGGGGACGTCGTCCCAGGCTCTGGCCCACAGAAAGCATCCCAGGGCATCAGGCCTAGGCCGTGGACGATGGGGGTGCATGGGGAGCCTCACCTTCCTGGGTCTCAGCCCCACTGAGGAAAGGGGAGGTGGGGGACAGGGACTACTAGATCACCACGTGAACGCGGATCAGAGGGGGAAGTGCAGGAGGAACTGGTCCCTGCCCTGGCGAGAGGGTGACCAAAAAGGATTGTCCATCTGGTCCACTGTACTTTGGCCCTCTACTCCCAGTGGGCCTCAGTTTCCTGCAAACGGGGGTATCAGATGAGAGGGAGGGGGTGCTCACTTTCAAAATTTGGGCACTGGGATGAGGGGCAACATCCTCATTGCAAGTTCCAGTCCCAGGGGGCTCATGGAATCTCCAACTAAGGAAGGCCTTGGCCCTGGCCCCGGCCACCACCACTTCTGGGGAGTTCAGAAAAGCCCCCTGCTGAGGGGCCCCACAGTTCCCTGCTACCCCTGGTCCCTTGGCAGCAATGGCACTGCTGTTGTGGGAGGGCTGGGTCCCGTCTGCCCCCATCCACCTGTGTTTACTGATCCCAGCTCCTCCAGCTCCTGCACAAACAGCTAGACTTCCCTTCCCCTCCTCCCCTGCATTAAGTGTGGTTGTGGGAGTGAGTGCAGGCCAATGGCGCGCGGGCAGGAGTGATGCCTCTCGATGCTCAGAGTCAGGGCCGAGGGAGGGCGCTGACCAGCAGCGTTAGCATCCGCAGGAGCTTGTTAGAAATGTGGAATCTCAGGCTCCACCCCGGCGCTCCTTCATGAGAACCTGCATTTAACAAGATCTGCAGGTGTACAAGTATGGAAAGCACTGGTGGAGGCCCCCGCCAGGTCTGGCCTATGGCAGCCTCAGTTTCTCTCTCCTCCATTCACCAACTGAATAGAGGGGATGCCCAGGGCTAAACAAGGGTGGAAGGAGCTGGATTCCTGAGTGACCTTGTGGAAGGCGCCGCCAACGAGAAATACCAGCTTGGGACTCTGCGTGAGTGAGAAATAAACATCTGTTGTGTTAAGCCACCGAGACTGGGGGCTTGCTTGTTACAGCAGCTGGCACAGCCTACCTGACTAATACACCCTGCCACCCCCATTCAGTTCTTGTCTTCCGCATTGGTTTCTTAAGGCCACTGTAACAAAGTACCACAGACTGGGGGCTTAAACAACAGAAATTTATTGTCTCACAGTCTGGAGGCTGGAAGTCCGAGACTGAGATGTCAGTAGGGTTGGCTCCTCCTGAGAGCTGTGAGGGAGAATTTATCGATGCCTCTTGGTTAGCTTCTGGCGGTTTGCTGGCCATCATTGGCATTCCTTGGCTCACAGAGGCATCACCCCAATCTCTGCCTTCATCTTCACATGGCCTTCTCCCCGTGTGCGTGTCTGGGTCCAAATTTCCCCTTTTCAGAAGGACAGCAGCCATATTGGATTAGGGGCCCAACCTACCCCAGAATGACCTCATCTTAACTAACCACATCTGCGACGACCAAGTTCCAAATAAGGTCACATTCTCAGGTACTGGGAGTTAGGACTTCAACACGTGAATTTGGGGGACACAATTCAACTCATAACATCTCTCAATTTTTTTCTTGTGCTTTTCCATCCGTGCTGCCACCTCCTTAGTCTGGGCCACCACCATCTCCTACCTGGACAAATGGCTCTCCCAAATGATGTCCAACTCCCTGCTCGTACCCTCTGCAACTCCTCCAGCAGCCAGTCTTTCTTTTTCTTTGGTGGGAGAAAGGCATTTACTGCAGGTACCTTCTGGCCCTTGGCCATCCACTCATCTTCTTTTTTATCATGGTAAAAAACACATAACATTAAGTTTACTATCTTAACTATTTTTAAGTGAATAGTTCAGTAGTCAAGTATATTCACATCATTGTGCAACAGATCTCGAACTTTTTCATCTTGTAACACTGAAACTCTACACCCATTAAACACTGATTCCCCCTCCCCTCCCCCAGCCCCCGGGAACCACCTTTGTACTTTCTGCGTCTAGGATTTTGAGTACTTTAGATATTTCATAGGAGTGGAATCGTACAGTATTTGTCCTTTCCTAACCGGCTTATTTTGCTTGGCATTGTGTTCACCAGCTTCATCCATGTAGTAGCACAGGACTTCCTTCCTTTTTCAGGCTGCATAATATTCCATATGGATAGGCCACATTTTCTTTATCTATTCATCTGTCAATGGACATGTGAATCACTTCCACCAGCCAGAGTCCAACAGACATGGGACAGAGACCCGAGCAGGACCCTGACCCTCATCCACACTGCACTCCCCTCATGCATTCAGCCAGTCATTCAGTCGATCATATCTTTAACAAGTATTTATGAGCACTTGCTGCATGCTAGGCAAATGATCCCTTCTCTGAAGTATTGGAGGTGGGAGGGAGAGTCAAGGTCCATGTCAGGGCCCCTGTTTATTTCCAAAGCTGAGGGGCCCATCTAGTGCCCTCAGAGCCCTGGGAGGGACAGTGGAGTGGGCAGCCAGGAGCGGGTGGGCTCTACAGAGCTGTGATGAGGATGCAGCCTGAGCCCGGCGGCTGCCCTGTCCTTGGTTGGGCTCCAGAGACCCCCTTGGGTGCCTCTGGCTTCTGGTCCTTGAACCAGGTAGTCAGACTTGATATGGACACGAGGGAGTGAACATCTGGGGCAGGTGCTCCATGATGGGATTGCGTTTTAGAAAAGCCCCTGGGTGTCATGGGGATGGAATGCAGAGAGGGGACACTGGAGGCTTCTGTGGTCATGCAGGCGAATGGCTGGGGCTCTAGGTGACTCAGGGGGATGGAGGTTTATTAATACAAGGACAGACTGAAGGGTTGTCTTTACCATATAAGTGCCTTATGTGGTGCTATGGACTGAATGTGTGTCCCCCCCAAATTTCATATGTTGAAATCTTAGTCCCAGTGTAACAGTGTTAGGGGCCTTTGGGAAGTGTTCAGGTCAGGGTGGAGCCTCATAATGGATTAGGGCCTTATAAGAAGAGGCCAGAGAGTTAGCTAGCTCCCCCACACCCCCATATGAGGACACAGCAAGAAGGTGGCCGTCTGTAAACCAGGGAGGGAGCCCTCACCAGAACCCAACCCTGATCTCAGACTTCCAGCTTCCAGAACTGTGAGAAACAACTGTCTGTTGTTTAAGCCCCTCCTTCCTGCCCCCCACCCTGTCTATGGTATTTGTTATGGCAGCCCAAAATCCACAAACCCCTCCAGCACCAGAGGAAGGAACTCCCCCTCAGCCTTAACACATAGGGAAAGAGGCCGAAGGAGTGACTGCTGACGGGTCTGGCGTTTCTTTTCGGGTGATGAAATGTTCTGGAATCAGACAGTGGTGATGGAGGCACAACTTGGTGAATATACTACCAGCCATTGAATTGCAGAGTATGTGGATCATATCTGAATAAAGCTGTTACTGAAAAAGACAAAAAGAACTAGGCAGGGGGGCACTGGTGGGCACTGACAGCTGGCAGGACAGCAGACGGGCAGGGCGGCAGGGAGGACAGCCCTGGGTTTCTCCGTGTGTGGTGGAGCCATGAGACAAGGAGGACGGCAGGCCGATACTCCCCTTCGCCGCTCGCTCCCAGTGCCCATGGGACGCCCAGGGCCAAGGCCCTGGAGGCCGCTGGACATGCAGGTTTGCTTGCAGGAGGGAGGACCAGGCTGGCGCTGCATGTTGACAAACTGTGAACCCCGAAAGTGGCTGGGCAGAAAGGGGCTGAGGTCCAGTCCCCAGCACACCAACCACTGCGCTCAGAGGTTGTTGGGGGCTGAGGAGCCCAGGAGGGAGGCTGGGAGGGGACGCAGGGAGGTGGGTGGAGAACTCAACGGCTGCCATCAGGGAGGGATCAAGGAGGGACGGCCGAGGACGAGCTCTGAGACGCATCCGACGCATCCGCTGACTTCAGGGACAAGGAGGTCCTTGGTGCAACCCTGCCGAAGCCATCTGGACAGAGGATGTGGGGACAGGAGGTGGAGCTGGGGCCAGAAGGGGGAGCGGGGTCCATGAGCAGTGTTTCCATGAGGCTCACCTCACCACCGTGGGGACGGGGACTGGGGGCCAGGGCTGTTAGAGCCAACCACTGCTCCCCACTTTAGAAATCTGAGTTCCTTGTTGGTACTTTCGCTACTCCTTGTGACCTTTTTATTTTAAATTTCATAATTGAGACGTTGTTGCACACTGTCATACAAAGGGGCACAGAGACACACTACCGGTGCCACACGGTGCAGACACGACAAAATAGGGTTTATTGGGGGAAACTAGCAGCAGAGTGGGAGCAAGGGCGGAGGAGGGCAGCCCCGCCAATTTGTCACCGTCCCCAAGGTGCCAGCTTCCCAGACAGGGACCTGCCCCTGTGCGCCTTGCTCTCTGACAGGGATGGGGTAGGGGGCGTCTCTGGCCCTGGAACCGTGGGGGAAGTGGAGGTATGAGGGGGAAGCCTCTGGAGCTCAGTGGCTGAGTGGCCATGGGGCCATGCAAGGTGACTGCAGTGTCCAAACTCACGTCCATCTGAGAGTCCTCAGTCTGAGCCACATGGACCATCCCTCTGTCCTCCGAGGTCAAAGCAGGTGTGGAGAGGAGAGTGCACCAGCCCTCATCATGAATGTCCGGGAGGGGAGAGAAGCCCATGTCCTTCCTCCGAGTCTCCTGGCACTGTACCCCGATGTCTGGATGCCTGGAGCCCAGCCAAGGCAACAGCATGGGACTCGGGACCAGGGAAGTCGCTGGCCCTGCGGAGGCCCCATTGAGGGGCTGCGGACCCAGCAGACTGTGCAGGCTTTGCAGGTGGCTCAGCGCTTCTTGCCAGGCACCTCGGGCCTGTGTGAGGTCCCCCTTCCAAGGTGGGACAGAGCCGAGACCCAACTGGTGGTGACACAAACTTGACCAGCCTTGTGAGTCTAGGTGCGTTCCCCTAGGTGTGGCTGCCTCCCGTGGGTGTGCACATTTGTGGCATGAAGACGGCTCTGGGATTGGGGTGTCGCATCTGCTCCCACAGGGCCGTGTCTTTGGCCTTGGCCGTGGGCAGGTCACTGTCCTGGGGCAGTGTGCTTCATGGCCCAGAGCACTGCCCCAAACGTAGCCCCTGTGTCGAGTGTCCACCGCTGAGGGCCATCAGCATGATGGGCACTTTGGCAGATACCTGCCTCCCGCCTGCAACGTGGCTGTCACGTTTCTGGGCCGTCTTAACCGCTGGCAACAATGGGAGGCGTGGGCCCCGTGGAGCCGGCAGTTGGGTCACTCGATGGGCCGGTTACCTGCCTGCGAAGGTAGCCCGGGTCTCAGGGTCTAAGCTGCCCGTTGCTTGGGCACCATCTCTATTTTAGGCTTGCCCCAGCTTGTGAAAACAGTCAGGGAGGACTCAGGACCAGAGGCAGCAGAGAGAATCCAGGCCTCTTTCAGTGACATCAGGGCCGGGAAGCGGCCAGGAGGGCCACACTGCCCCCTGTAGGCTTGGAGCAGAGGCCTCAGCAACCCCTCTCGAGGCCCCCCACAAGCTCTTGGTCCAGCTCACATCGGGGCCAGGTGGCCTGGCACTACCCCAGGTGTGGGGGTCTCCCAGGGGTTTCCCCAACCAAATTCTGTCGCTTCCAACCCCATGGCACTGAGACACGTGGAGTGTATGGCTTCCTGGTGGTGGACAGTGGTTGCAAAGGGGATGTGGACACACACAGCAGCTCTACACGGTGAGGTATAAGATAGGGTTTACTGGGGGAAATGAATAAGCAGAGGGATGGGGGGGCACTTGAGCTGTCACTGTCCCATAGCTGGACGGCAGGCTCTGTGGCCAGCTTGCCAGGAGAGAGGCAGCCTGCTGCTGTGTGCTCCCCCTGCGATTATAGGATGGGGCAAGGGACATCACTGTCGAGGACACAGCCTTGTTAGCAAGCAGCAGCCTCTGGAGTTCCCGGGGGACGTCGGCCTGCTTCTTCTTGGACCTGCTAGGCCAGCTCTCTGCCACACTACTGGACGGGAGAGGGCATGTGCCTCTGCTGCCATCCGGGTCTGCCTCTCCTCCTGCATCAGACAAACGTGGGCGACCCGGGACACCGCTGGCCTCAGCCAGGTAAGTGTCTGGCCTTCCTGCGGACATCCGGGCTGGCTCCCACTGCCAAGAACGACGCCTGCCATGGGGACGCTGGGTTTAATTTAAATTGGAAACAGCAAAGGAAAGAAAGTCCGAGAAAGGGTGTAGTGAGACTTCTGGTTTGGCCTGCTCTGTTACGGTGGGGGACGGCTGTCGCCTGGCAGCAGGGGGCCAAGAGCATGAAGGCCCACATGGCACCTGCCCAGAAAAAACCTGGGGTGGCTGGTACTCCGCAGGGCAGCTCAACTCAGCTTGAAGAAGCAGGAACTCCCCCAAATGTGCCCTGGACGAAGCAGGGCCACACCAGGGGAAAGTCCTTGGCAAAGTCGCGTGCTCTGAAAACCCATGGGTGTTAGCGGCTTGGAGCGGCAGAGCAGGGAAGAGGTGTCTGACAAAAGATGCTTCTTCAGATCTTCGGAGGCCGGAGCGTTCCCCACGTCACGCACACCCGCAAGCCGCCAGCTCCTGGCACTCTTCTTTGCCCGCACAAAGACACCATCAAAGTATTCCTCCTGGAACACCTCTTGAGGAAAGTGAAGGCCATTGATGCTTTGGAAGAGTGAAAGAGTTTTAGTCAAGCAAACTCTAACCGGGTGGGAAATGCCGGGGTCCCATGTGGACGCGGAGCATCCTTGATGCTGGCAACACGTGAGGTTCCTCTGCTCGAATCGGGGAGGAGATTGGCCTCACTGGGACTTGCTGTCAAGTTTTACATCTTTGACCTTCCTGATTACAAAGAAACACATATTCATTATCAGAATCCAAATGTGGCGCAAATAGATAATACAGAAAGTTAAGGATTCCTGTGATCCTTTTTCCTAGAGATAACCATCAACTGGATCATTTTTATACACACACATCTACACACATCATATCAATTCCTTTAAAATGTGAGATCACTCCATAACATATATTTTGGGAATTCCCAGCTTTCTACACTAGCATGTCCTGGGAGGAAACACCCAACATTCCTGAGAAGTTGAGTTCCATTTCCTGTCCCAGAAGTTGCTGGTACTCACAGCCTGGACTTTTCAAGATTCTTTGTCAAGAAAATGCAAAGTTCTCCTGTATTACTGTGATGGGTTTAGAACGTGTTCACAAGTTCTTTGATATTCCTCACTTCAAGTGGAGGAGCCTAGTTCCCCTCCCCTTGGGTGTGGGCTAGATGTGGTGACTGGCTTCCAATGAACAGAGTAAAGCAGGAGTGACAGGGTGTGACAATGGTCATAAAAGTCCCTGTGGCTTCCTTCCTTTCCTTAAATAGCTTTATTAAGCTATAATTCACATACCATACGGTTCACCCATGTAAAGTGTAGAATTCGATGGTCTTTAGTGTATTCACCGAGTTGTGCATCCATCACCACGATCACTTTTAGAACATTTTCATCAGCCCAGAAAGAAACTCCATACCCTTCAGCTCTCACCCCCATTTCTAGCCTTAGAAATCTACTCATCTACTTTCTGTTGCCATAGATTTGCCCATTCTGGACATTTCTCAGAAATGGAATCATAGACTAGGTGCTCTTTTGTGACTGGTTTCTTTCACTTAGCATAATGTTTTCAAGGTTCATCCACGTTGTAGCATGAATCAATACTTCATTCCTTTTTATGGCTGAATAATATTTCATTGTATGGATAGACCATCTTTTATTTATCCATTCACCCACTAATGGACATTTTGAGTTGTTTTCACTTTTTGGCTATAATGAGTAATGTTAATTATAACATTAGCATACATTCTTGTACGGACACACGTTTTCAATTCTCTTGGGTATATACCTAGGAGCGGAATTACTGGGTAAACATACACTCTATGTTTAACATTTTGAGGAACTGCCAGCCTTGTTTTCTAAAGTGCCTGCACCACTTTACATTTCCACCAAGAGGGTATGAGGGTTCCAGTTCTCCACATCCTCGCCAACACTTGTTATTGTCTGCCTTTTTTATTATAGGCCACCCAAGTGGGTGTGAAGTGTATCTCATTGTAGCATTGATTTGCATTTTCCAAGGTGAATGATGTTGAGCATCTTTGGTTATGCTTATTAGCCATTTGTATATCTTGGACTTCATAAAATAAATTAAATTTTGAAAAAATGTTTTTCAGATTCTTTGCCCATTTGTTAATTGGATTATTTGTCTTCTTACTGTTGAGTTATAAGAATTCTTTGTATCCTTTATCAGATATATGATTTGCAAATATTTTCTCTCATTCTGTGGATTGAGATTCTTTTCACTTTCTTGATGGTGTTATTTGAAGTACAAAAGTTTTTAACTTTGATGAAGTCCAATTTATCTATTCGTTGGTTGCTTGTGCTTTTGGTGTCATATCTAAAAATTTCTGCCTAATTCAAGGTAACAGAGATTTAATCCTATCTTTTTTTTAAAAAAAGAGTTTTATAACTTTAACTCTTATATTTAGGTCTACAATCCATTTAGAGTTAATTTTGGTACATGGTGTGAGGAAGGGGTCCAATTTCACCCTTTTGTATGTGGACATCCAGTTGTCCCAGAACCATTTGTTGAAAAGACTATTTTTTCCTCGTTAAATTGTCTTGAAAGCAACTAGAAGGAAGTGCAGCTATGACATACAACTATCTACTGGGGCTTTGGGGGAAAAGATAAATAAAATTAAAAAAAAAATTGTCTTGAAACCCTTGTTGAAATCAATTGACCATATATGTGAAGGTTTGTTTCTGGACTTTCAATTGTTGATCTGTATGTCTATCCTACGCCAGTACCACACTGTCTTGATTATTGTAAGTTTGTGGTAAGTTTTGAAATTGTTGAAATAAGCTTTGAAATTTGAAATCAGTGAGTCCTCCAACTTCGTTCTTTTTGAAGATTGTTTTGGCAAGGTCCCTTGAGTTTCCATATGAATTTTAGGTCTTCCAATCCATGAATATGGGATGTCTTTCCATTTATTTATCTCTTCTTTAATTTTTTCAACTATGTTTTGTAGTTTTCCAGTATGTTTTACACTTTTATTAAATTTATTCCTAAATATTTTATTCTTTTTGATGCTATTGCATATTGAACTATAGAACTGTTTTCTTAATTTCTCTGTTGGAATGCTCATTGAAAGTGTATAGAAATACAATTAATTTTTGCATATTGATCTTGTACCCTGCAACCTGGCTGAACTTGTTTATTAGTTCTAATAGCTTTTTAGTAGATTCCTTAGGATTTTCTATATATAAGATTATGTCATCTACAAATAGAGTTTTTCTTCTTCCATTCCAAACCAGATGTCTCTTCTTTCTTCTTCTTGTCTAATACCCTGGCTAGAACCTCCAGTGCGGTGTTGAGTGGAAGTGGTGGGAGTGAGCATTCTTGTCTTCTTCCTGATCTATGGCAGAAAGCGCTCAGTCTGTCACATTGAGTGTGATGTTAGTTGTGGGGTTTTCATGGGTGCTGTTTATCAGGTTGAGAAAGCTCCTTTTTATTCCTAGTTTGTTGAGTGTTTCTATCATGAAAGGGTGTTAGATTTTGTCAAATGCTTTTTCATGTCTATTCAGTGATCATATGTTTTTTGTCCTTTATTCTATTGACATGGTGTGCTGGCGTCCTCAAGACCACCCCCAGGTTTGGTGATTTTGCTAGAAGGACTCATAGGATTCACCATCTGGTCATACTCCTGGCTAAGATTTATTACAGTGAGAAGATACAAAGCAAAATCAGCAAAAGGAAAAAGTACAGGGGGTGAAGCCCAGAGGAGACCAGGCACAACTCTCCAAAGTCCTTTCCCACCAGAGTCACACGGAATGTGCTTAATTCTCCAGCAAGGACCTGTGATGACATGTGTGAGGTATTGTCTACCAGGGAAGCTCCCCTGAGCCTAGGAATTCAGGGTTTTTACTGGGGGTCAATCATGTAGGCGTATGGTGTCTGAGTGCCTGGCTGTAGTCACTGAAGCTCCAGAATCTCAGAAGAAAAGCAGTGTTCAGCAAAAATCACATTCTTTTACAAACAGATAAGAGTGAGCAACTGTTATCATTCTGGAACAGTATTGTGTCAGTGTAGGGAACTACACTGAGTCCTAGATGCCAGCTAAGGGTCAACCTTGCAAGCAGGCTGTTCTAAGGACAGCAGTCACAAGCCTGCTATGCTAAGTCTGTTCTGCACAAATGCTGTATTATGTTAACTGATTTACAGGTGTTAAAGCAATCTTGCATTCCTGGGATAAATCCCATTTGGTCATGGTGTATGATCCTTTTTTATGTCGCTGGATTCAGTTTGCTGGTATTTTGTTGAGGACTTTTGCATCTTTATTCCTAAGAGATTTTGGTCTGTAGTTTTTCTGTAATGTCCTTGCTTGGTTTTGGTGTCAGGGTAACAGTGGCCTTATAGAATGAGTTGGGAAGTGTTCCTCTTCTTCTATTTTTGGGAAGAGTTTGTGAAGAATTTGTGTGAATTCTTCTTTAAACATTTGGTAGAACTCACCAATGAAGTCATCTGAGCCTGGGCTTTTCTTTGTTGGAAGTTTTTAAATTACTAATTCAATCTCTTTACTTGTTGTAGATCTATTCAGATTTTCTATTTCTTCTTGAATCAGTTTTGGTAGCCTATGTCTTTCTAGAATTTTTTTCATTTCATCTAAGTTATCTAATTTGTTGTCATGCTCTTGTTTCATAGTATTCCTTTATAATCCTTTTTTCCCTGCTGTGAGGTAGGTAGTAATGTTCCATCTTTCATTCTTGATTTTAATAATCTGAGTCTTCTCTATCTTTAAAAAACTTTTTCGGGTCAGTTTAGCTAAAAGTTTGTTAATTTGTTGATCCTTTCAAAGAACGAACTTTTGGTTTTGTTAATTTTCTCTCTTATGTCTCTCTTCTCTATTTCATTAATTTCTATTCTTATCTTTGTCATTTCTTTCCTTCCGCTTGATTTAGGTTTACTTTGTTCTTTTTCCAGTGTCTTAACATGTAAGTTTAAGTTATTGATTTGAGATTTTTCTTCTTCTTAATGTAAGTATTTACAGCTATACATTTCCCTCTAAGCACTGTTTTCGCTGCATCCCATAAGTTTTGGTATGCTGTAGCTCCATTCTGTTCACGTCAAAGTGTTTTCTAATTTCCCTTGTGATTTCTTCTTTGAGTCCTTGGTTATTTAGGGGTGTGTTGTTTAATTTAAACATATTTGTGTGTTTCCCAAACTTCTTTTTTTTTTTGTGAGGAAGATCGGCCCTGAGCTAACATCTGACAATCCTCCTCCTTTTGCTGAGGAAGACTGGCCCTGGGCTAACATCAATGCCCATCTTCCTCCACTTTATATGGGACGCTGCCACAGCATGGCTTGACAAGTGGTGCATCGGTGCACGCCTGGGATCTGAACCAGCGAACCCTGGGCCGCCACAGTGGAGCACCCACACTTAACCGCTTGCACCACCAGGCCGGCCCTTCCAAACTTCTTTCTGTTATTAATTTCTAGTTTCATTCCACTGTGGTCAGATAACATACTTTGTATGATTTTAATCCTTTTAAATTTACGGAATCTTGTTTTATGGCCTAGATAGGGTCTATTCTGGAGAATGTCCCAAGTGTGCTTGAGAAGAATACGAATTCTGCCATTGTTGGTGGCCTCCTTCTTGCTCTGCTCTCTCCTGGATCACTTGCTCTGGGGGAAGATGGTGTCATGTTGAGGGTACTCAAGAAGCCCTAAGGAGAGGTCCATATGGTGGGGAACTGAGGCCTCCAGCCCACAGGCATGTGAGTGAATGGGCCATTTTGGAAGTGGCTCCTCCAGCCCCACTCAAGTCTTCAGATGACTGCAGCCCTGGCTGACATCTTTCCTTCAACCTCATGAGAGACCCTGAGCCAGTACCACCCAGCCCAAGCACTCCTGAAATCCTGACCCACAGAAACTGTGAGAGAGACTAAGTATTTGTTGTTTTAAGCCACTAAGTTTTGGGGTTATTTGTGATGCAGCATTAGCTAACTAATACAATTACCCATAAATCTGCTGGCTTTCAGGAGAACAAGTCTTGAGGCACAGTTGAACTTCAGGCAGAAGTTTTATCTTCTCTGAGGAAAAAAAATTGAAAACACAGATTAATAATTCTTTTCTTTTCTTCTTCTTCTTCTTTTTTTTTTTTTTTGAGGAAGATCAGCCCTGACCTAACATCTGTTGCCAATTCTCCTCCTTTTGCTGAGGAAGATTGGCCCTGGGCTAACATCCATGCCCATCTTCCTCTACTTTATATGGGATGCCACCACAGCATGGCTTGACAAGTGGTGTGTCAGTGCACGCCAGGGAACTGAACCTGCAAACCCCGGGCCACTGAAGCAGAGCACACGAACCCAACTGCTATGCCACCAGGCCAGCCCCCAATAATTCTTTTCTTGTTGAAGCTGCTGGAGCCAAAGGCCCACACCCTGTAATGACGACCTCAAGGAGAAAGGAAACCAGGTTGAATGACTCTGATTTGCAGAGTCATTGGGAATTCTGGTTTTCTAATGCCCAAAACTACCTGTGTCTGGTAAAATAAGCTATTTGAGATCCTAAGAGTTAGTCTTCACCTTGTCATCAAAAAGACTGGGAATGAACTAGATATCAGAGATGATCTGTTCTTCACCAGAGGCACTCACAACTTCTACTTCTTGTTTAAGCCAAACAGTGGCTTTCCCATGGGAATCTCCTTTTCTGTTTTAAGCAGAAATGAAGTTTCTTTTGGTTGCTTTATACAACTTGGATTCATTCCTGTATTTTATAAGACATGGCCCTTAATATTTATATGAATTAACATGAGACACGTAATGCTTTCTTTGTTTGTGAGTGTGAGGAGATCAGCCCTGTGCTAACATCTGCCAATCCTCCTCTTTTTGTGCTGAGGAAGACTGGCCCTGGGCTAACATCCGTGCCCATCTTCCTCCACTTTATATGGGACGCCGCCACAGCATGGCTTGCCAAGCAGTGTGTCAGTGCGCGCCCGGGATCCAAACCGGCGAACCCTGGGCCGCCACAGCACAGCGCGCGCACCTAACCACTTGCGCCACCGGGCCGGCCCCCCGAGACATATGATGCTTTCTAAAGACTGGTTTTATATTCTGTTTATGTAAAGGGAACTCATTTTCAATTCAATAAAGTTAATTATTTGCAAAACTTTACGTGTGTGTGTGCGCATGGGCATGTACACACACACACACACACACAAACATTAGTACATTTTTCTGGGGTAGTCTATAGTTTTTCAACAGATTTTCAAAAGAGACTACAATCCATAAAAAGTTAGAATAAAAGAAAGGAGAGAAAAGGGTAGTTAGAAGGGGAGCTGTTTTTAAGGGTGGGACAGATGTAGATGTGTTTTCAGCTTCAGGAGAAGGAGCCAGTAGAGAGGAGAGTAGTCTGGCAAGGCAGAAAGACCAGGGCACAGAGCTCCTCAGACAGTGCCTGTCCCGTGAGGTGTCTGGAACTGGGGCTGACAGAGGCCCAGACACCCACAGCTCTTCTGTCCCCACCTCTGCCCCACCCCTGTCTGTACCTGGGTCTTCCTGCTGGGCCGCACTGGGGAGCCGCTCCCGCTGCCTCAGGGCCTCCAGACCCAGCAGGTCGGGCGGGTGGCAGTGGCTGCGCATCACGGTCACCCGCTGGCCCTGGGTGATGGCCCGGCTGCGGCAGCCCAGGCGGGCCTGGTCCCGGCACATCCAGTATACCTTCTCCCCGGCCGCCTTCTCCTTCCGATAGAGGAAGGACTCATGCACCAGGAACCTGCCCCCGAGGGAAGTCCTCAGGAACTCCAGAGGCTGGAGGGTCCCTAAGGGAACAGGACACGTGAGTGGGGCGCAGGGGACAGAGCCTGGGTGCCAAGGACAGAGGCAGTTTCCTTTGTCCCACCAGCCTGCCCCAGCCAGCAAACTGTGATCCCCCCCGCAGGACACACTCTGGTCGCTGCCCTCCACCCCGTCTCTGATGTGGGGCCCTGGGGACTGAAGCTCAGGCCGCCAGCCCAGGGCCCAGAGCCCTGACACCCTGGAGTGCAGACTGGCGGTCTCTTCTCAGGGCTCTGGTGCTGCCCAGGGAGGCTGGCCCCACAGCCGCCCAAACCTCGAGCTTCCCTTCAGGCCTCTCCTGACCCCGCTGACTCTACATTTGCTGGCAGGGCCCCAGGAGAGGGGCAGGGCTGGAACATTCTGGGAGGCCCATGGCTGGTCTGGACTATGCAGCAGGGGCCTCCTGGCTCCCCGTCCACCTTCCCCTCGGCCAGCTGGCAACTAATCCACTCTCGAGAGAGACTTTTAGGAACCTGAACTGAAAGGTCATGCACTGTTGGGGTTGGAATGGCCAGAGAGAAGAGGGGGGAATGGGCTTGTAAGGGCGGAGTGAGAGAGGAGACAGAGGAAAACAGCACGAGAGAGACCCAGAGAGGGACCTCAAGGTCCAGGTGCACCGCCCCATAAGTGGGTGCCGAGCCCTTCCTGTAGCTGCCGATAATGCCCCTGGGCCCCCACCCCCCTTATCTCTAGCAGTCAGAGTGGGTTTCTCCCATTGACACCCGATCCCAGATTAGAACCAGCACCAGGAGGGTGGGCCCGGCACACCCAGTACACTGCCCGCAGGGAGCTCACAGCACAGGCAGGCAGACCAACTGCATGGCTGGACCCTGGCTGGACATGGGCCACCACAGAATGTCCCAGCAGGCAGCCCCTAGCCTGTGTTCTGGGGCTGGCCCCCCGGGCTGCCTGCCCGACCCCCCTCACCCGCACCTGAGTCCTCCCTCTGGGCCCGGCTGGGGAGCTGCTCCCGCTGCCTCAGGGCCTCCAGGCCCCCCAGGTCGGGCGGGTGGCAGTGCCTGCGCATCACCATGACCCGCTGGCCCTGGGTGATGGCGCGGCTGCGGCAGCCCATGCGGGCCTGGTCCCGGCACGTCCAGTACACCTTCTCCCCGGCCGCCTTCTCCCGCCGGTAGAGGAAGGACTCGTGCACCAGGAAGCTGCCCCCCAGAGGGGTCCTCAGGAACTCAGGGCTGCCTGGGGAGAAATCAGAGAGAGGCAGAGGAGGGAGAGCCTGGAACCCAGGCCTTAGAGCAGAGCGGCAATGGGTGGTGGTGCTCCTGGTCTCAGCACCAAGAGCAGCATGGCTTCTGGAGTGAGACCCAAGGGCCCCCATGCTGTACCCACCACCTCACAGCGAGACGGACCCAGAGCCCAGAACACAGACCCCCACCCCCAAACCGAGCCTAGCCTCAGCTCCGGGGGCTCCTTTCCTGAGCCTGGGAGTGAAGGGAGGTGGGAGACTGGTGAGGGGGAGGCCCCTGCAGGCAGGGGTCTGCCCCCACCTCACAGGGCCTATAGAAGGTGGCGTCTTTGCTATGTCCACTCACTTATCCTATGTGCCTGCAACGGGGGGGCCCACAAGGCCGTGTGGTCCCTGCTGAGTTGGAGGAATAAGTGGACAGTCCATTTGGGGAACCAGCAATCAGGAGCAAAATGGGCGTTGTGTGCACAGCAGGAGATGGCACTATAGAAGGATCAAGGGTCAACTCCCCAGAGCCAGGCTGGTGGGGATTTGACTGGAGGGTGGCAGGAGGAGGCAAGGAGTGCATGGCCACTGTCTTGGACGTGTCGAGAGGGAGGACACCGGGAGGTGGCCGCGCGCTTCTGCCCAGAGGACTCCCTTCCCGTGATCCAGGCATGAGGACCACACAGAGGAGCTAGAGACAGACTGGGGAGCAGCGGAAGCCATGGGGGTGAGGATGCCCTGGATAAGGGGGGCCGGTGAGGGGCGTCTGGCCATGGAATGGAGCTATGTGACCGATGAAAATGTCCGCCGAGGAATGATGTCGGCACGGGGCACAGGCCAGAGATCTGGAGAGGAGAGGGAGGGCAGCAAAGCAGAGGGGCTGACAGAGTGTTGGAGGCAAGGATTCGGGGGACGTGTGGTCACACTTGGCAAACTGCCAGCCCAGAGGAGCAGCCACCAAGCACAGTGGAGGTCACTGGCAAGCCCAGGGCAGCGAGGTCCCTCCAAAGGTAGGGTCCAGGGCAGGCCTAAACGGGGGGCCGGGGGAGAGTGACTGCGTGAAGAGCAATGAGGCAAGAGTGCTTGCGCCAGGGGAAGGACGAAGTGGAAGTCTGCATCCGGAACCGACACCTCCCCCGTTTCCCTGCCCTAGTCCTTGAACGAATGCTGGCAGCCAGCTTAGCGGCCCTGTGGGAGGCTGTCCTGTGCACACCGGCCAGCTGTAGACCCACACAGGTGAGGTCCAGGGTCTCAAGGTGGAGACCCCTGGCTGCCACAGCCTCCTGAAATTAAGCACCACCCCCGCCGCCACCCCCTGCCAGCGCCCACGTGCAGAGCGTGTTAGTCTTGCCTTAAACACGAGCAAATGGCCAAAATCACCAGAAGTATGAGACAAGCTTGGCTCTGAAAGGCGGAGACCAAAGCAAAGACTCAAAGAAGGCTGTGCCAGAGGCCGGAGAGACAGGGCTGCCGCGCTCCTGGGACGACGGAATGCAAAGGAGACGCTCAGATGCCAGAGCAAAACTTCGAAACTAAATAGAAGGGCTGGGGGGCAAATTCGAGGAAATGGAAGATGGACATCTGACCAACATGAGCAACAGAAAGAAAACGGGGAGCGGAGTTATCCAGGAACAGGAGAAAATTGCTCGGAGCGAAGGACCGAGTTTCCGGCCTGAAAAGACCCTAGTGCCCCCAGCACAGCCAGAGACCCCAGGGATGGAGACATGACCCTAAAGCTTCAAGCAAAGCCCCATCGCATGCCTAGGATCAGTCCTCAGAATGCTGTGGCCTCCCAAGGACAGTGACTAGATGACATATGGGGAGGTGACAGCCATCTTCAGGCACGCACCGTCTCAACAGTGTGACCTCCAGTGTCCCCACAGTGTGACCTCCATGGTCTCTGCAGTATGACCTCCGGGGACTCTTGCTTGGGAGGTGACTAGAGGAAGGACTTCAGAAGTCCTTCCAAGCAAGAGAAAGAAGGGCCCAGAGGTGGTGTCCAGCCCAGGGGACTCTCGGGAGATGGGGCGGCGGGGCCAGGGGACCCGGAGCAGAACACAGAGCTCCCACTGATGGGGTGACGTGATGGCACACAGAACACGAGGCCAACACAGGAACCACCGGACTGCAGAGAAAACAGCCATGTGAGGTGGGGAAAAGGGGCCGAGGTGCAGTCCTGGCTCAGCCGGGAGCAGATTTATGCAATAACATGACGACAAAACCTGTGGCACCTGCCAGGAGGGGCCGCGGGGAACAGCGAGGCCTACTGGCTCTCCTTGGAAGTCCACAGGCCACGAGGAAATTAAAAAAGCACCAGATAGCGGTGGAAGCCCGTTTTAAGAAATGGGGCAGCAGACACCCCGAGAAACAACGAAAGAAGCTCAGAGGGGTTCTCTGGGTGGGAGCTGGGGTGAGGAGCCAGTGGGGGCTGCCGTGTGCCTCGTGGCATCACCTCCCTGTCCACAGGAGTCCCATGGAAATGGAATACAGAGAGAGCCAGAAGGAAGTGAAAGCAGAGCTCCGGGTGTGGGAGACTCAGAGGACTCAGCACTGCAGGACCAGATGCAGGAGAGGCAGGTGTCGGCGGACAGAGGAAGAGCCAGGACATAGACACATGGGGCTGGAACTGCCCTTCTCAGCAAGCTGAGGACAGGCGAGCTTACGTTATGGCGACCTCGAGAGCAGAAGACCAGCACTGTGGGGCCAACCCGGGGGACAGAGATGACGAGGGCGGGGCTGTGACCCTCGTCATGGATCCCTCAGGAGAGAGCAGCTGGAGGGGCAAAGAAATCGATTACATGAAAATACACCCTCAGCCCTTGAGGTCCCGGTCCGTCGGATGTCCTGGGAACTGAATCACCCGCTCACTGTCTGGACGCGAGACTGGCCTTGTGCAGGCAGCTTCCGCTATCCATCCTATAAATTCTATATTCTATCCATCCTATAAATTCTCAAGACAAGAAAAGGAGAAGGAGGAGGAGGGGGAGCCCGGGTCTAGCAAGTGCAGAGATGTGGGGGCAGCGCAGGCAGGTCTGAGCGGGAGGGTGAGGACCCCCACCTGAGAGAGCAGGATGTGGTGGGTGAGGAGGGGGAGGGAGGAAAGGGAAGAGCCAGAGGATAGGGCTCACTCCTTCCAGAGCATTCCAGGAAGGAAAGGGAGGACACCTCCTGGGGACATGGGAAGTCAAAGGGCAAGGCTGGCTGGCTGTGTCCCCTGCCCGTCCCTGAGGCCCGCTCTGCTGTCGTCCTACCTGGGCTCCCCCGCTGGGCCGAGCCCGGGTGTTTCTCCCGCTGCCTCAGAGCCTCCAGGCCCCCCAGGTCGGGCGGGTGGCAGTGGCCACGCATCACGGTCACCCGCTGGCCCTGGGTGATGGCGCGGCTGCGGCAGCCCATGCGGGCCTGGTCCCGGCACGTCCAGTACACCTTCTCCCCGGCCGCCTTCTCCCGCCGGTAGAGGAAGGACTCGTGCACCAGGAAGCTGCCCCCCAGAGGGGTCCTCAGGAACTCAGGGCCGCCTGGGGAGAAATCAGAGAGGGGTTGGGGGGAGGGAGGCAGGAACTCTGGGCCTCAGGGCCCCCCTCCCACCTCCTGGGACTTAGGAAGGCAGCCTTGAAGGGGCCCAGCTCTGGGCCAGCGGGTATGGAGGACTCACCCGGGTCCTCATCCTGGTCCTCAGGGGCTCCCTGCAGGGCTTTGGGCTGGGCCAGCAGGCCCTGATCTTTGACCTTGACACGCTTTCTGGGCCGTGGCCTGGTGAGTGTCAGGGTGCCAGTCCCCCTGCGGTAGAACAGGCTGTCCACACCTTGGAACGGTGTGTCCACTCGGCCCCCGGGGCCACCGGGCCTGGCCTGCAGCGTCTCCGTGGCCTTCTCCTGCTGCCGCCGGGCCTTTAGGCCCTCCACGTCGGGCGTGTGGCAGTGGCCACGCATCACAGTCACCCGCTGGCCCTGGGTGATGGCGCGGCTGCGGCAGCGGTGTAGCGCATGGTCCCGGCACGTCCAGTACACCTTGTCCCCCACAGCCTTCTCCCGCTTGTAGAGGAAAGACTCGTGCACCAGGAAGCTGCCCCCGTAGCATGTCCTCAGGAACTCCAGGGCCCGGGGCTCTCCTGGAGGAGGGATCCAGGGCGGTCACAGCTGGCCCTGGGAGCCGGCTGGCGGGGGTGGGGAGCCCGCAGAGTGGGGCCATGAACTGCTCTCCTTTCTGGTGACATTTACCATGGCTTCCCCTGAGCCAGGCGTCTGCTGGCCCCGGTGCATTCCCACTGACCCCCCACCCAGCGACCCAAGGATGAGTTTCCGTTTCCCTCCTGGTGGTCGGTAAGGAGGCCACGGCTCTCGGTGGTTAAATACTGCGTCCCAGGTCACATGCCAGGAAGGGCCAAGCGGGCTCTGACTCCAAAGGAGTGACTATGTGCCCAGTCACTCCTGGCCATGCTTTTGCTTAGGATTTGTTTGCAAACTTTATCTATTTTATGAATAACACATGCACGTGCCATGAAATGCAAATGGTACAAAATGATTCACAGTGAAAAATAAGTCTCCCTCAGGCTCGCCCTGCCCCAGGTACTCAGCACAGCAGCTGCCTTAAATCGCTGAATCCTTTCCAGGTCAGGAGGCACCCAGCCTCTGGGACCAACCCCCGCTCCCAGTTACAGGCAATAAAAACCTCCTCTAAGACTCCCTCTACCAGTGGCTCAGTGCCGCCACAGGCTGGCCCAGTGCCCACCACTTCCCACGCATCAAACGCCTCTTCTCCCGAACTTCTGGGCTCTCACCCATCTTAGGACAAAGCTCCTGAAACTCCAGAAGCCCAGCCAATGTTCTGAGGCCACCCAGCTAAGTGAGGTGGGGCTGGAACTTGAACCTGGGCCCAAAGCTCAAGACTCCCTCTAGGGCGACCTTCCCCAAGGTCACCAGAACCTTCATGGGTTACCAGAATCACATGGGGCCTGTGAAAACTCAGGTTTCTAGGCCCCACACCAGACCCTGCTGCATCAGAAAATTCCAGAAGGACCTGGGACCCCCTGCTTCAGGAGCACTAGTTCTAGCCCACCGGCTTAATGATTACTAGGACATGTTTATATTTTTAAAAGTCATTTTGACTTTGAGCGCATTAAAAAGCCACGTGGGACCTCATGCTTCTGTCTGGGCACAGGAAAGGGCTCGTGGCTTCCCGCCTGCCTGAGTGGAGCCAGGGTGGGGGCACTCACCAGTCCCCAGCGTCGGGCGTTTCTTGGGGGGCAAGCTCAGCAGCCACAGGGCTCGCATCCCCTCCTCCTCCGGGGCCGGCTTGCTCAGCACCAGCCCAGGGGCGGGCTCCGGGTCCTCGCGGCACAGCCACGGGCCCACCCCCTCCAGCGGCTCCTCCACTCGGCCTCCGGGGCCCTCGGGACCCCCCAGGCCTTCGGGCAGGGTTGGCCTGGGCAGCTTCTGTCTCTGGCGCCGGGCCTCCAGGCCCTCCTCGTCGGGCGGGTGGCAGTGGTCCCGCATCACCGTGGCCCGAGGCCCGCGAGTGATGGCCCGGCCCCTGCAGCCCAGCTCGGCGTGCTCGCGGCACTTCCAGTAGACCTTGTCACCCACAGCCTTCTCCTGCTTGTACAGGAAGGACTCGAGCACCAGGAGGCGGCCCCCAAATGGGGTCCTCAGGAACTCCAGGGGCTTGGGGGCTGCTGAGGGCAAGGGGAGGCTGGGTTAGCTGACGCAGAGCAAGGCTTGAAGCCAAGGGCAGGGAGGGGAGCAATGGGGGGCACACAGGGTTAACATCCTGCGATCGTCACACTAACCAGGGACAGGAGACAAGGAGGCTTGGCTCAGAACAGGGACAGGACAGCCAAGGTCACTCCACTAAGAAGTGGGGTGCAGGGGGCCCAAGTCTGAGCAGGTAGGACAACAAAGGTGCGGGGCCCGGGGCAGCGGGCCTGGAACTCACCTGTGTCTGGCTTGCTGCATTTCTGCTCAGAGGTTGGGGGGCTTGGCTGGACTGCCGCCCCCTGCTCCTCTGACGACAGGATCTGGGGGGTCCTGACCAGGGTGTCAGGGCCAGACATCTCCAGGGACATGGCGCAAGGCACTCCTTTGGGCTGGGAGTCCCCCCCATCCTTGTTCTCTGAGGAGGCCGTCAGCAGGACCAGTTTGGAGAACTCCTTGGGCTTCGTGGGGGCTGCAGGGACGACATCTGTGCCCGGCTCAGGAGGCTCAGGGGATGGCTCTTGGCCGGCCTTCACGCTCTCGGCCTCCTGCTCACTAGGCTCGGGCAGGGGCATTCTGGGACCAACGGCCTGTCCCCCAGCCACGCTCAGGCCCCAGCAGATGGCTGTCTCCTCCTCCTCCTGGCAGGGATCCTGGGAGTCCAGGGGCTCTGTCCTAAGGGTGGAGGCAGAATCCCATCGGGGAGGCGCCCTTGGGCCTGGGACTCAGGAGAACGGATCTGGGCGGGAGGTCAGAGCACATGGGGCTGCTTGGTGTCCCGGGGCTGAGAGGCTGGGGAAGGACCTTGAGGGTGCTAGAGAACCCTGGGCCGGGGCCTCTGCTCGGCCACGTCCTCTCTGGGCCGCTGAGGGGCCCCCCCCATCCAAACCTCTTCTTCCTGAATGTAAAGTGTGAAAACCACCGGGCTCTCAGGGGCGCGGAGGGGACCGAGGTGCTGCTAACTGAGTGACTCCGAATCGTGGCCCGGAGGTGCTGAGCATGGGGTGAAGTGTTTGCACGGGATTTTCCATTTCACCCTCAGCCCCATGGTATGAGAGTTCATCATTCTTATTGACCCAGTGTACTGGCGAGGACACTGAGGCACGGCGGGGCGGCCCACACGGCCATGGAGCACGGAGCTGGGGGGCCATCAGGGCAGATCCAGAGCTGGCCCCACACGGCACTTGGTCCAGGACAACAGTATCTGGTGTCACTGAGCGCCACGGTCAGAGACAAGCACTGTGGGGACTGAGCTCAGGCCACTGACCAGCCCAGGATGCCCAGTGCCCTTCACCCTGACACCAGGTCCCAGGGAGCATGGGCCAGGCCCCGCTGGCACTCTGCAGACCCCAGCGGGGAAGCCAGGCCCTAGGAGGAGGCCTCTCTGGACTCACTAGACCCGGCCCATCTCAGCACTCAGGAGTGGCCAGGGTCCCTGGGGCAGCGACCTTGTGCAGAGCCAGTGCTGGTGCTACCCCTGGGTGGGGACAGGGCTGTGGAGGTGTCCCGAGAATCCGAGAATCCGTGGTCACTGAGGGCTCCCTGGCCTCCCGCCTGGGGGAGCAGACAGGATGGATTATAGGGCCACCTACCAGGCCCGGCTGGCCTGAAAACCCGGCCCTGGGGCATCAGTGTGGGGTGGCCCTTTCGTCCTCTTAGGGCAGTGGGGAGGGTGGCAGGTCTCTCCCACCTCTCAGTAAGAGCCCAGAAACAAGACTGCAGCCTCCCCTCACACTTCAGATTCCCCACTTGTGAGCTGTCACCCCCACCCCAAATTCTGCGGTTCCAATCCCTCCGGGTGCCCCATCCTGGTCTGGGGCCCACACCGGCTCCCGGAGACCTGGTCAGCCAAGCGCGGGGCCTCAGGGAGCCCGCGGAGCCGCAGCCAAGGCCGAAGACGCAGGAGGCGCAGCGTCCCGACAGTGTCCCCGCGCTCCGGCACCGTCCGCCCGCCCAGGGCCCGGGGGAAGCCTTGTCCTGAAGGCGGGACTCCAGGAAACCCACCCGGTGAAGGGACACCTTCCTGGGAATCCCCGCCTGTCCTCCCGCGCCTATCCTACCCCTAGCCCCGGGCCGGGACAAGCCAACCCCTGCTCCTCCCCTTGCGCTCCTCCCCGGGCCCGCCCACAGCGGGGGGACAGGGGACCGGTCCTCCGGGCAGAGGAGCAAGGAAGGGTCCCGGCAGAGGCCCCGCCCACGGCCGCCCCGCCCCGCCCCGCCCCGCCGCTGATTGGCTCCGGCGCACGTCCCTCCGCCGGTAGCCCGCCCCTCTGGTCCGCACGCTCAGAGGTGAGCGGAGGCATGAATGCGGCGGGTCGACTCCGACCCGCATCCTCCTGGCGCCCGGGAGCTGCCGGCGCTCCTGCCTTCCCTGCGGCCTCTACCCGACAGGGCGAAACGGCGCAGAGAAGCTGGCCCTCCCTTCCACAAAAGGCCTTTCAGACAACGCAGGCCACCCAAAGCCCTGCGGTCACTGTCCGCGCAGCGGGCCAGGAATGGGGGCTGCAGGGACCCGACACACGATCGGATGTCTCAGACGATCGGATGCCGAAGCCCGGCCTCCTCTGGACCAGCGAGGGTTGGCATGACCAACCGTGACCAGTGGGGGTTGGCATGACAAAGAACCCCCCACATTCCCGTGGAACTGTACCCCGAGTCATGAGTACCCCCGAGTCAGGAGACAGTGCAATCCTCGCAAATAAAATTTCTGTTTAAAAGCTTTCCAAGATCCATGTACCTCAAAGGATATGGAAAAAATTCCAGCACAAGAAAGGACCTTGAACTATGGCTGACCACCGGCGGTGGAAACGCATGGGTGCCCCCAAGGGACTAGAATTTGGATTCGATTGATGGTTGCCATTCTCAACCATTAAAGGGCCTTGAAGTGTAGATTGTTTAATGACCACAAATCCTCCCAAACAGTATGCAGGCCCTTTGTAATGTGGTCTCGAATCTGGACTGGGCTCCAGACCAGATTGGTCACTCACTGTGTGACTTGTTGAGTGTGGCAGAAGCACGCTGTGGGGGTTTGGAAGTCCTCGCCCTCATGGGACGTGGCCCTGAGACTGCCAGGGAAGGAGGCTGTAGGAGAGGCCATAGGAAGACCATCTGCACTGTCCAGCCCAGCAGACCCTCCAGCTGTGTGTACCACATGACAGAGCCCAAGGAAACCAGCAGAGGGATAGCCCAGCTACTCCACAGAACCCTGATCAATAATAAACTAATGTTACTTTAAGCCAGTAAGATCAGGGGTCATTTGTTACACAGCAGTAACTGCTATTCTTGGCAAGTGATTAACCTGGTGAGTTTTGGCTTTTTGATGGATGGAAGAATACTAATGGTTGTGAAATATCCAACACCAGGGTGCTTTGGAACTCCGGGGGCCATGCTACACAGGCATTACATCCCTCAGACCATCACGTTTAAAGGGCTGGTGATCCAGTGAGAGGAACAAATATATTAAATATAAAGGAGAGCAAATGAGAATTACTATTTAAGAAGTCTGTCACGAAATAAGCGAGTGACAAAAGGACACTGCTGTGTGATTCCACTTACATGGTGCAGCTGGAGTAGTCAAATTCACAGAGACAGAAGTCAGATGGTGGTTGCTAAGGCCGAGGGAGGGGGAATGGGGAGTTGTCCTTTACCGGGGACAGAGTTTCAGTTCTGGATGATGAAAAGATGGATGGAGGTAATGGTTGCACAACAATGGCAATGTACTTAATGCCACTGACCTGTACACTTAAAAATGATTGAAGTCATAAATTTTTGTTGTATATTTTACCCCACACTCGAAAAAACATCTGTAACAAACTGTCCGAGGTAATGCCCCATTCACCTAACGTCATCAGTGAACAAGGATCTGCGTACAACGCAGATTTTTGATTAACTGAAGCTATCCCTCTATGATTCAGAGTTGTGCAAGTTTTCTCTGTTTCACATTTAATCCATCGAGGACGGGTATCCTAAGCTGCCATCACTGTTCACTGTCTGGATACAGGGGGCAGACATATTTCAGCCTGATTTGGAAAATGAAGTATCTGCACCCAGTCTCCTTGTACATCCCCCCTCCCCTCGCGGTCCTTTCTCTACCATTCGTATCCTGCTCTCTCTGGTCGCCAAAACTCTCTGCCTTGGCTGGTGCTTTGCATTTGGACCATCAAGGTTCATCCATCTCCGGTATCCTAAAACAAAACCTAACAGAAACCCCTCCTTCCCTCAGCAGTTTGACTTCGCAAGAAGGGCCCACACCCTTCTTTCTCACCCGGGCCGTCGGGCAGCTGCCCCCCGACTCTGTAGACACCACTTTCCTCTTTGGCCACCATGCAGGATCAGCTCTGGCTCAGTCGGTCCATAAACCATGTCCTCCCTCCGAAATACCTGCCTGGCCTTTATGTGCCCTATCCATACAATGGAATTCATTCAGCGATAAACAGGAATGAAGTTCTGATAGACGCTACAATGTGGATGAACCTTGAAACATGCTCCCTGAAAGGAGCTGGACACAGAAGACAGCATGTCATGTGATTCCATTTCTCTGAAATGTCCAGAACAGGCAAATCCACAGACACAGAAAGCAGGTGAGTGGTTGCATGGGTCTGTGGTTGGGGGGGAGATTAGGGAGTGATGCTAAGGAGTGTGTGGTTTCTTCTGGGGGTAATGAAAATGTTGTAAAATTGATCGTGCTGATAGTTGCACAACTCTGTGAATACACTAAAAACATTGAATTATATGCTTTAGATGGGGGAATTGTATGTAAGTGAATCATATCTCAATCTGGCTGTTTTAGAAAATCCTTATAGGTATGCCTCGGGTCCCCAGGGTCACTTGGATGAAAAACACACTGTAACAAGCTTCTCACTCCTGGGCTTGGTTTCCTCATCAGAGGAAAGGGGCGGCATGGATTAGATATCGAGATATTTTGTAAGTTGCTAATATTATATTGTAAAAACTTTATAGAAAACATTTTTAAAATGTTAAGAACATGATATTAATAAATCACCCATAACCCTGCCACTCGAACGCACAGCTATTTCCATTCTTGTGTTAGTGCCTTTGACATACTTTTTATTTTCTGTTGCACACACACTGTGTTCAGCATGCTGTCTGCTATTTCATTCCCCTTTAGAGTGGGAAGCCCCAGCCTGCAGATCAGATGGAGCCTCTGTACAGGACCAGGCATTATGTCTCATAGGCCCCTAACAGTTATGAAAACACCATCTAAATCCTCAGCAGCAATACTCCAGAAGGCCACAAGATGGCGAGGGAGTGCCTTAAAACGCGCGTACGCATCCCCGGTAAAATTAAATGCTCGATGCGATGTTTCCAAAACGAGAATTTGGGAGTTCTTCCATGTCGCAAAAATAATTCAAGAAGCCTTCCAAAAATGTTTGTATTTTCAAACTTATTAGTCAGAAAGCAAAATCTAGTTAACAAATTCAGCAAAGACTATCTTTTCTAAGCTAAACAGTAATGTTTTCAAAAAAAAACCAAAGTGTTACTTGGACCTGTAGCCCTCAATCCACTTTTCTTTTCTTCGCTCTCTTCTCCACTCTGATCATATTTGATGTTTATTGACTAATTTTATTTTATTTATTGGTGACTTTAAAAAACCTTAAATAACTAGGAAGAAATATCGCAAAATGTTAAAAGTAGTAAGAATAGTGATTTATTTTTTCCTTAAACTTCTTTTGTTTTCTCAAAATTGTTTACATGTGCATTAACTCTTTTTACAGTGGGAAAATGTTAAACGCTTTAAGGATAAGCTGTGTCTCCTCCTTGGGAATTTTT